GACAAATCCAAACCAAGAACTGGTGGGTTTCCAGAACAATTTATTTATCTAAGCCAGGTCCTCTGATAGCAGTAGTGTATACGTGGTGATAAACCGACACTGAGAAGATTGAACAATTTCCTCATTTAATAAGTGAATTTTCACTACATGGTATTGTACACTGTTATCTGTTCAAAAAAGAGTAACAGGTTTTAAAAAACAAGATTCTGTGAGATTTATATAAACCGGTGATCAAGATCAACGCCTCTGGTTGGCTTACCAAGATATTTTCTAGGCTGCTTTGTAGAACAAAGTCCTTCAGCTAAAACCCACACACACAACCATCGGGGCAGATCCGGAACCGTTCCCATAACTTCCAGCTTTCCGAGGCTGGCTGCCACAGGAACGGCCGCCAAACGGTCCCCTTGATCCCCCTTGATCCAACGTATGGAAACTGTACAAAAATGGGTTGACTTCTGACCACGAATAGAATAAAGAGCGCAGCGTTTCTACTTGCTATTTCAAGTCAGGACTTCCTTTTATCTCCGAGAGGAAGGCGTGAAGGGAAGGCCCTGCCAACTCAGCGCGGCGGGCTGCGGACGAACAGTTTTCTAAGCGAACTTTGGCTTCAGGAAAGAGACACAAACACTTAAAAGAATGGCTTTAATTGTCATCTGGAGTATCCGGAGAGTGGATGCGTGTCTGAATTAAATATACATCATACCAGTGGTGCTGGCAAGGTTGAAGGTTATTTCTAACGTTGACAGCAATAAAACGAACGTGAACATGACGAGACATTAAAAGAAAAGCGATCCCTTTAAAACAAAATTTAATGTAAAATAAAAAAGAAGAAGTTCACAGTGGTTTGTATAAACAGTATGTAATTTCTGACAGTGACAAATCTCTACTCTCACAGCACACTAGTGCCCTCTTTAGATCCTAAAGAAGAAAACAAGCATTGACACTACCGGGTGTACAGAACCAGAAAGTCAGTTGTACAACTACCCCTAACGACGGGATGAGACGCTGTGGAGCGTTCAGCGGTGACACCAACCAAAGGAAACTTTAAAAACTCTTGTGTTTTTTTTTTTTTTCCTGGGAAGGAGGAAAGTCTTTCATTCGCTGTTACAACCAGCAAATGCCATTTTCATCAAATCAAAAGGAAAACCACAAACACGTTATCTATTTTGAGCAAGCGGAACAGTACACGTTACAGGTTTAAAAATGGAGGTTATATACTATCATACAAGTCCCAACAAGGCAGCGCCAAAGTGACTATTTCTTTGCTTGTTTTGTGATCATACCCCTGGGAGGTGTTACTGGTCTGCTGGAATTGGGCTTCTTTTTCTCTGCAGGTTTCAAAATCTGCAAAGAGAGTTCAGTCATTTAGCAAGACTTTTTAAGTTTTCTTACCATCCAACAATTAATTCATTAGTAAAGGCATTAATTACACAGGTCACCTGGACAAGTCATAAACGTGCCAGGAAAGAAATGCGTTTCACACTCGGAGCAGCCGGTTTGAGAGCCCGTGCCAATGGAAGTGGGCTAAGAGCCCACAGCTGTGCTCAGATGATTTAATTCCAGGGTGAAACAGTTCACCTACTCACACCCCCAAGGGCTTATCATGTTTTTTAAAGTCACGAGTGCCAAAAGAGTATCTGTAAAGATCTATTTGAATTGTCAATTGAAAATAAAGCAAATTTAAAGTGACTACACTGACTAGGAGGTAAAACCTTCAGACACCGTACCTGAAAAGAGCACATTAGAGTCTCATCCACACTCATCATGGCACCCGCATTATCAAATTCTCCGCAGTAATTCGGGGCAGAAAAGAGAGTTACCAATTGCCTTTTTGCAAAAAACTCATATCCATCTTCAACCACCTTTAGAGAGAAAAGTAGAAATATTAGACTGGATGAAAAATATTAGATATTTTTCTTTAAGCAGCTTTAACAAGAGCCAGCAGCAGAAAAGGAGCATGAATTCGCAGGATCCAGTTCAGCAAGAGAGTCCATTAGCAATGAGAAAACCAGGATTCTGCTAGCACCAAAACAACCTTGTTCAGGAGTCAGAGCCACAGTTTATATGTATTAAGAAAAAAAATGTTAATTACAAGGTTGTTAAACACTGAGACAAGCTGTTCAGAGACAGTGGCATCTCAATCCTTGCAGATACTTAAACCTTGGCCGGACAAGACCCTCAGCAACTGGAGCTTACAGCGCTTTGCCTTGTGCAGAGCACATGCGTGTGGGGTTGGACCAGGTGAGCACTTCAGATCTCTCTGAACCAAAATTATTCTATGGTTTAATGTACAAAATTAAAATACCTGATGAGCTCTACATATGAGATCCAGATCATGTTTATGGAGAAACTTAGCAACCACTTCAGCACCAAACGTGAAGGACACTCCTCTGTCATTTTCACCCCATCCCAAGACATCCTTGTCAGGGTCAGACCACAAGAGATCACAAAGGAGACCTTGATCTGGTACATCAGTGGGGCGCATAATTCGTCTTATCTGTTCCATCGACTGAAGGTCTGGTGACAAACCTGTTTGGAGTTAAGACACACACCGTTCACATTTTAGTTCCACTTTGCTCTGCAAGACTGAAGTATTAATTCAAGATACAAATAATTTGTGTTCAAACCGATTCACCACTGCAATTTTACATAGCTCAGCGGCAATGTTAACTGGCACTATTCTAATCCAGCATTTGTTTTGTAACAGAAGACAAGTCACTTTCTAGAAGATTCACTGGAAGCAGGATAAGCAAAGCCATCTCCACATTTGACAGGATTACAATAATCTCACTGTAATATTTTTCAAATGTGTTAAAAGAGCTGTTAAGTAAAAGAGGCATTAGTACCAGCAATCACAGAGTCTGTTTATTTTAACCACCAGGCCTAGTAAGATGAAATACAATATCGAACAGAACTCAAACTGTTTTTCACTGATGTCTCCCTGGACAACTGTAATGACCTGTAAGTGATAAAACCTTGAAGTGCAAGATGTATTTTATTACTTTGAAAAGCTGCATGAAGCAGGTAACACAGAGTATAACAGACCCAATTTCTACACATAAAACTCCAAACCTGTCAGACTGGACAGGGCTTTGAACAACCTCAGCTAGTGAAAGATGTCACTGCCCTTGGCAGGAGGGATTCTACTAAATGATCTTTAAAGGTGCCTTCCAACCCCAATGATTCTATGAAAACTTACCTTTTCAGAATGTACCTAAAACTCCTAGTAATGTAAGTCTAAAAAAAACCTAAAAGAATGTACCTAAAACTCCTAGTCACGTAAGTCTAAAAGAACCTAAAAGAATTCTGTACTCAAAAGGAGCAGCTATTAAACACACCTTCTGGTATAACAGGCAAAGCAGATCACTGTGTCTGAAGTTACAGAATTACCAGTTCAGTGATTCCCAAAACTGATGCTACTTTTTTGCTTCCCAAAACTCAACCTGACCTCCCACAGGAACCAAGGCAGAGAAAAATCCACAAAGCTTCAGCAACACAAATGTGGAATTGCCACGCTTGGTACCAGAGAATTACAGCTTCTCCCATATCAACTGTGGAACTGTTACTTACCCCCATGACAGCAGAATATTTTCTCATCCACAATAGCTGCGATTGGTAAACAGTTGAAACAGTCTGTGAAGGTTTTCCACAGCTTAATATTGTATCTTCTCTTACCTACAAGACATTTTGGTGAAAAAACAGTCAATATGCTTTTCTACCACAACTACAACCAACCTAACATGGCTGCCTTGAGTTTACTAAGACTGGCAAGAAGTTAAATGCATTAATGCCTACGCACAATTTCTCTTCTCTGATACCCACTGACATACTTTACTGCTTGTAAGAAAGCTGCCAAGGTCTCTTCCAGTGTGGCACAGTGCTTGGGAGGTGGCTCTGAGGACAGCACAGTCCAACAGAACAACATTCCACTGTTGGCAGCCAGACTCTCCAGTCCCAACTTTGCTTTGGAAAATTATCCTTTGGAGAATTTGATCCATTTCAGAAAAATCTTGTCATTTGCTGTTTTCTTCAGGGGAAGAGAGCAATTCTTGGAAAGCAGATTTTCTTTAGAGTTCTGCTAGTGCTTTACCACATAAAGTCTCTCTAGGCAAAGAAACAGGACTGAAAAATGAAACTGCTACAGTTTTACTTTCAAAGGGACTCTCCCAACAGATACGAACCCTGAACATATTTGTGATATATGACTAAGCCTGTGATTAATCTCTGAGGAGATAACTCTGAAATACCACACATCTTTTTTCTCCTCATTGAAGGAGAACAAGACATGGAAAGTACATCTTGGAAGCTACAAGCCAAGTATGTCCCACAATGCAAGTTGTGAGAGCGCTTCAGTGCCCAACTCAACAGTTTTACCTGGGTAATAATTATGAAGTCACATCCTTCAAAGCATGAACACACATTTCTACTTCACAGCAAAATTACTTGTTATGTTAGGGGAACATCTATGCACGGTCTCCATCAAAACAGACTTCAACACACTGTGCAGTGACAGAGCTGGGACATTCACCGCACAGCAACGCTGCGTTTGTGCAACAGCAGCACTCGTGACGCCAAATACACACGAGCACATTTCATCACTAAAAGGCTGACACACCAGTACAAATAACTTCTGCAGCTGAAGTCACCTGCGGGGAGAGCGAGTATCTGGTGCTCAACCCAAGCAGCACCACACTGAAGGCTTCACACGGGCTTTGCCCCATGTATGAAAGGAAATATTGGCTCTGGCCAAAGCAACAGCACACGATACAGCAGGACTGCAGCCAGAGAAGGGCAAAGCTGGGGGTTTTTTTTGTTTGTTTGTTTTTTTAAACATTACAAAGTTACAGGTCTTAATATGAAGTAGATGGCAAGCACTGTTACTGTGAACATAACCACAGTAAAGATGAGCCCACTCTCCAAGTTAAGTTGAGTATGCATCATCATCATCCCTGTGACTAAAGAAACAAAGTGAACTTTTCTAAAGCACATCAAGTAAAATCCTCCCATCTCTCATCAAATGACCTTGTCTTAAGAGCTTTCAACAATACAGACCAGGGAGAGCTGTTAATGAACACAGCAGCCAATAAATAAAATGATCCACTTGCACAGTGCTTTGTACTGGGAGGATCAGACTCCAACAGGACCAGGGAAAGGACACATTTCCCTTCCTAAAACAGGCCAAGGGCTCCCCTGAAGTGAGCAAAGGGAACTGCAAGCTCTGAAGGAATCATCTCACCCTGCGACACCAGCACCTCCTACCCTGCTCTCCCAAGCCAAAGAGGCACATGTCTGTATTACTTACATTCATCGTAAAATCCATAAATTCTATTGATGCTGGCACATTCGTGGTTCCCTCTGAGGAGGAAAAAATTCTCTGGGTATTTAATTTTGTAGGCCAATAGAAGACAAATTGTTTCTAAAGATTGTTTTCCTCTGTCAACATAATCGCCAAGGAACAAGTAGTTGCTTTCTGGTGGAAAACCTCCGTATTCAAAGAGTCGAAGCAAGTCATAGTACTGTCCGTGGATGTCCCCTGTGAAGAGTGGTCAGAAACAACATGTTAAGTGACCCTTTGCTACATTCCTTCACTGATTCTAGAGAAAGAACAAACAAATGATGCTTCAGAAAGAAAAAAGTCTGCAGTTAGATATTGCCTACTGAAAAATTACAATTTATCTTAAGGTATATAAAATTACCACACTCTGAAAACTGATGTCTAGGTAACACAGTGGTTAACTGCACCAAGATGAAGGATTCAGCTACTTAAAAATACACCTGTGTAAAACAAAATCAAGATTTCAAAGAACCAACTGTGTGTTCAAACGAAAATCTGACACCCAGTTAAACCCTCTACTTGACTAGTGGCTGTGAGGTCGGGAGCCTTTACCTCATTCTTGGTGTCTCCACATGGCAATGGTAATACTGATGGAAAACTGATCACTCAGGGAATTTGCTTCCCTTTGTACCATCTCTGGCATTTTCTTGAAGCACTCAGTAAATCAAATTCTATCAGTGAAGTGGTAGTGAAAATGAAATTGGTATTCCTGCCTTTGGTTTAAATCATGGTTTTGTTTCTGACAAGCAGAACATTAAATAATGGCTTTAAAAAGACTACTGACGTTATAAATATTGAACAAGCTACTTCAATTTGAAGTAAATCCTCAGAGCAGGATAAAATACTGTTTGCTGGAAGCTTTTTTGAAGTGCATTTATTGAGGCTTTTATTTTGACATGCTTCATTCTTTTAGCATAACCAGACACGTTTGTGCGTGCAAAACGAGCACCACTGTGTAAAAGGATGGTGAAACCAAACCAGAAAGTCATTCCAAGAAACAATAGAGAAATTAAAGCTTCCAGTAGGATTTTAAAATATTGACAGACCACTGCTCAACTCTGAACAGCAGCTACAATAAGCTACTGCAGTTCTCCTTTATTTCCCCTTATTCAGTCACGACTGGGCCAAACATTATTTCATTGATACAAAAAACTCCTTTCCAAAATTCTTCATGTGAATCCCTCCCCCAAGAGACCTGGTGAAACTGGACCAGTTAGTTTTTGGGTTTGGATTATTTTGGTCCCAACTCCAGTTCCCATGTTTGTTACTTTCTCCCCACTAAGCATCCAGCAGGGGTTTATTTTCCCTTTTGCTACAATAATTTATTAAACTGTTAATAAGTGAAAGGAGCATCTGGCATTTGTTCTCTGCTTCAGGTCTACATTTACCTGACACCCCCCCCTCCATGCAAAGCATCAAATCAAAATCACAGTACTCACCACAGATTTTCAGTGGAGCTTCAAGTTCTAGTAGAATAGGCTGACTCAGAAAGATTTCTCTGGATTTCAAGCACAGTCCTCTAATTTCATTCTCCTGAAGTTGGACATTTTTGCCTGGTTTTGATCCTCGCACTGTTGGAAGGAGGCAGAAGTCAGTTATCAAAATCAACAGAGCTATTTTAAGAGCCTGACTAAATGCCACTGTAATAGAGAAAGAGAAGATAACAGTGTAATATCAGTCTGCTGAGGTGAAACTGTACTGCTGTGTTACCAGAGAAAGGGCAGTGTGTTCTGTTTCAGTTGTATCTTACTTTCTTTTAACATAATTCATGGCTCAACACATGGTCTGTTAAATGTCACGTTTTAAATAGCGTCAGTTCAGTGCTATTTAGTTATAAAACCCATCTTGGACAATGTGACTATACATATATATAGATTTATTTTTTTTTTAATGAAGCAGTTATACCCTTGTTTTCTGGAAAGCTGTCTGAACTTGACAAAAGGAAGGGTCCCATTTAATCATCAACACCACAGCTCCAATGTGCAAGCTGCCCTGCACTATCATACACCCTTGCCCAAGTAGGTACCTAAACACACGACTACAGTATCAATACTATTGATTAATATCAATACAATTATTGATACTACAGTATCAATAAATTCTGTGCTGCCCAGTTCTACCCTGCAGTTAGCAAACAGGGAAGAAAAATAAGCATATGATGGGAAGGTCAGAGCTAGACACAAGGAGACATTTTTGGATGACAATGACAGCACAGCTCTCCTTATCACTGCCTTTGAGCACGCTAAAAGACCAGCTAAGTAGGAGATCTGTCATCAGGCCACTTCTCCCCCACCCCCGTCCCCCCTACCACTTCCATCTCCCCCACTGCAACAATTATCTATCACACCCCCTCCATTTCTTGTTGCCCAGAAATACAAAGGACATTTCTGTGGCAGCAATGCTGTAATTATGGCTAAAGTGCATGCAGCAGCATTTATCAGGGTTAGGAGAAGACTAAATAAAAAATAGTGACTATGCTATTACTAGTGAAGCTTATGTTGTTTTTATTTGGTGTCAAAACCAGTGGCAACACGGAGCACTGATAAGGCTGAAGCAATAAAAACCCAAACAAACAACCTGTAGCAAATTCCAGTAAGATTATGCAATAAGAGCAGTCATCGTCTACAGCATAACCCAGTGGTTTTGCCACATCAAAGCCAAATGACCTCAGAACTTTAGTCTCAGATGCCTGGAAACACTCTGACAACACCTCCAGAAAGAAAATCACTGCACTGGTAACACTGCCTGACTTAGGCAACTTACTGTGTACAACTCGTGCAGCACTGAGACTGTAGAGCCTATGCTCTTATCCCAAAAGGCTTGGTCTTTAGTTGCAAAAACCCCCAAGCAACAATCCCTGAACCCTTTCAAACACAATGGATCTGTGCAATATCATCTTCCTGAATTCCTAGATTGCCCAAGGAAGTTGTGGCTGCTCCTCCCTGGAAGTGTTCTCGGCCAGGCTGGATGAGGCTTTGAGCAACCTGGTCTAGTGGAAGGTGTCCCTGCTGCTGGCAGGGGGGTTGGAACTGGATGATCTTTAAGGTCCCTTCCAATCCAAACCATTCTATGATTCTAGATACCAGTTCATAATTCCCTGGTTATGGTTAACCTCAGAGTGAGAAATTTGGAAGCTACAGATGAGTGAAATCCCTGTACTGACACTGTGGGCCCTCCACTATGTGAAACCAAGAAGAGAGAACTGCAGGAGGAAAGGCTGGGGGAGCACATTTTAGGAGGAGTAAGAACAAAACCAATTGTGTTCCAAAGGGATCAAAATTTCTCCTTAGCACAGAAGTTTCCTACTTTTGTGCAAGCCTCTGATTAAGAGCAGAAAACACTGTTCAGTCAGTGTGCACCTTATCTGGACCAAGAATAAAACAATGATTGTGTAATATCCATCCATAAAACCAAGTGCCATCAGACACAATCTCTACCAGCACTGGTACCAGTACCAGTGGTACCACCAAAACAATTCCACCCTAAACACTGACTCCAGAGGTCCAAGGCATGGTGGCACGGGCTGCCCTACAGAATCACTGGCCATGCCTTAAAACACACAATTTTTCCTGAAACAAGCTTCAAAACCAAAACTTCAGTACAAATTACAACACGTACTGACAGTGACATTCAGTTAATTGTAGGTCAAAAGTCGTGGCTTTAACAAGGTTATCTTTCAAGCAACACACGCTCCTCTGTTATTCCCTGCCTATGTATTATCACTGACATTACATGGCAACACTGGAATGATCACTAAACTTCATGCCTTCCATTAAAATATTGGAAGTAATGAAGCATATAAATGAAAGTGAAATCTTTGTCACAGCAGTTTATCACGGATGAGGCTTTTCATCCACACAGTAATTTTTTTTTATCCAGACAGTAATTTTCCAAACACTCTTGAGCAATGACTAAGTTACTCAAAATGCCAAATATCCAGAAGCAATAGAGAATAGAAATTTATAGAATGAAGTGATCAGCTGACTGAATTATAAATGTTAAATTTTCCCTTACTCTTAAATTTTACAATTCACCTTTGTTTTTGAGATAATACAATATACTCGGATTTCGTTTTCTGAGAAGCCAAAAATGGAACTTTCTATGATTTGGCCTTGTTAGAAATTGCTAAAACCAAACCCTGTATCTCACACCCATAAATTAAAAAGTATAAAATATTATACAGACTATGTGATGCACTGAGTCACTGAAGCTCATGAATAAAGCATATGTGTTAATTTTTGCTGAAGATTAAATGAAAATCTCAAAAGTGACTGTTTCAGGTTCAAGTTTCCTATGTTTCTCTGATATATTTTCATTGCATCAGTAGAATCTTCATGCAGTTTTAGTCATCTGCATATAGAAAATCTAATAAGATAAAATGATGCTTTGTTGCAGTTCACAAACAGAAGAAACGAGTGTTCAATTTCTTTAATGGTGACCTATATACACTGAAAAGATGGAAACAAAGATTTTTGGCTTCAGAAGAATCAAATATGCAGAAATGCATGTTGGTTTAAGAAATCTGTATTTTTAGCACAAGGATTTTCTCATCCACAACGAAAGAGCTGGCAAGGAAATGCAGGATGTTCAGTCTGAATGATTTCTTAAAAGGTGTCTCTGATTGAGTCTTCAAGTCACTTTGTCCCACTAAGAAAGGCAAAAATAATATACTATGAAAAATATGTTGTGTTTACAGTTTCTTTTCTCTGCTTTGGACCAAAACAAGGCAGCTTGTAGAGATCAGACAGCACAATAATAATTGTCAGCTTGGTCATAAAGTCAAAAAGAGCAGCTCAATAGTACTGTACATGCACATTTGCTCTTTCAGTGCATAAAAAATAACCTCTCTCAGAAATGACAGTCTGGAACTGACAGCAGAACAAGCTAAAGACTAATCAGTTGAGGCAAAAAGTCAGCCCATTTCAAAGAATCTTTTATTTATGTCTTGTCTCGACATTCAGCTGCACTATTTCCAGACAGTAATATATTCCTATCCTCTTTTAGGCAGAGATGCTCCTGTTCTTAAAAATAATTTTTCAAAAGCTTGAATTTCAATGTCCAGTCTGGGCAGTTTTCTAACAAGTCAAATCTTCTCCACTGTACAGGTATGAGAACTTTTGGGAAAATAAGCTCTCCACTGGATGGAAAAGACTCCAGCAAAGATCCCTCCCTGGAGCCTGGAGGATCTCTGCACAGGTACTGACTTGAACACAGGTTCCAATAATTAAAATTAACGTTGTTTTCCAAGACAAGGAAGAAATTGCTGGAAAGCAACGACAACTCCAAAAGGAAGGCGTATGATCAACAAAGACGAGTGCAGTATGACTGCTGCCCAGCAGAGGGGGAAAAGGAAGGAAAAGGAGTTAAAACATTGCTTGACATCCAGGATCATTCTCATACATTTCTTTGTGAAGGATAAATGGGTCAAGAACTGCAGGATTCAGAACGTACACCAGTCAGGTGGCCACATGCAGGTAGAGCACAAGAGGCTTCGACACCACATCCCATCACCAGTGTTTTCCAGTGTGCAGTTTGGTGTCAGACAATCCTTTAATAAAGGCAAATGCTATTATAAAACCGAGTATATTATCTGATTCAAGGTTAATATGAAAGGGACAGATACGTAGGAAAGTATTCAAAAATAGCAGAACATTAAAAAAAATTAGAAATTTCAGCTATGCAAAGGTCTGATTTTCTTTCAGTGTTACATTAAAAGTGTTGAAATGCTGTCAACTGGCTGGAATCAAGTTCTTGTACAGAAAATGTTTTAAAGAAATGCTCTATTAACAGGTCAGTTCATTTTTTGGCTTATTAAACAAGTCTCCCAGTTTTACCATATTTTACATTAAGATGTCTGCAATCCTAGAGACACTTCCAAAAATATCACAGGTCGGTTTTCATCTTGTTTTTTAGCAGCTCCTGATGACAGTTTCACATTCATTTTTGCAGCACAGGCACAAAGGGAATAACTAACTTGAAAATGGTTGATGTAAAGAAGATTTTACTGTACTGCAGGCACTACCAACTTTGATCAGATCATTTCAAGTTCAAAATTCAAACTGAAAAGCAACTCCTCAGTGCCCAAGCCTCTAAAAAGAAAAAGTTCTAGTCTACTTTTTAGTCTGACAAAAGTTCACAGCAGCATTATCAAACAGAACATTGTGCACAACTGCAAAATGTTCATCTTGTAACATCCTTCCACGCTGGAATGAGCTTGGTAGCAACAGGTGATGACAAATACTCAGAGATAACAAATCCCTCCACTTTACTGACTGGGCACAAACATAGAATTTAACTGATTTATCTGCATCCACAGCAGTGACAGGAATCTAATCCTCCTCTTCCAAATGCAGAGCTCCCATTTCACATTATCAGAAATTGCTGCAACCCAGCAGGAAACAATGAACATAAAGTTACACAAACTACTGAAAATTATATGAAGTCAAAAGTGCCGCTTGTCTATTAGAAACTTTATCACAGTACCTCAGCTCATCATCATCAAGTGAAATCTGACCACATTTCAGATTCACATCTGTGACAATCAGACTTATCTCACTATAAGAAGCTAAAGAGCAAGCAACCCTTCAGACCCAACCAACGCTGTATTGAGCTGAGAGGTGAAAAAAATCAGAGAAGTGCA